GATGGTGAAGATGAGGACGATGACTGTGGCGGTGAGGACAGCGATGGTGAAGCTGAGGACGATGACTGTGGAGGTGAGGACAGCGATGGTGAAGACGAGGATGATGACCGTGGCGGTGAGGACAGTGAGGAGGAGGGCGGTGATGAAGACGATGACGGTGCTAATTCTGCGTCTGTTTATTAGGATAAAAATGTTCCTCTTAAATCATGCTTCATGATAGGGATTCTCAGAGTGGTCCCTGGACCAGCCCATAAGCATCCTAGACTTGTCAGAAGTGCAAATTCCCGTACCCCATCCCAGAAGGACTGACTGCAACCCCTGAGGGGGGGGGCCCGGCAGTCTGTTTCAGTAAACCTGTAGGTGATTTTGGTGCAAAGCACAGGTTCAAAACCCTGCTGCAGGATATGAAAGAAGGGCTGAAACGGACCCACGGTATTCCCGAGGGGCAGAGCTCCTCTGCAGCCACAGTCTGAACTCTTCAGCTGCTGCCATTCCCTTGTCAGTTAGGAAGGGTCAGCTTCTACAGGACCAGAGGGTTGGCTTTCCGACCTAACCACTCTGGAAAGTAGATAGGTGCTTAGTGACGGGTGATGGGCTTAGTCACCACAGTGTGCACCCTGAGCGAGGACTCTCAGCTGCAGTCCTTGAATGACCACAGGCCAGTCGTGCTGGCAGCTAGCTGCCTGGTGACCGCATTCTTCCTGGGGAAGGTTCTGTGCCTGGGGACTGGGGACTGAGAGCTAGAGCCCCCCAATTCCTCTTCACTGATGTCACCTTCAGTGTGGAGCTTTCTGAGGAGCCTCACCCCAGTTGTGCCCAGGATCTGCCCGGGGCAGCTGCCCAGGAGGGGCGTTCAGGCCGGGATTAACAGGTGTCTTGAGAAGGAGGTCCCCGCGGACAGCAAGCTCCATGCCGAGCTGGGTTCTGAGTCTGCCTGTTGGGGAGTCACCTCTAGCTTCAGGTGGGCTGGACCACCCATGTTCTCTGCAGCCGCTTAAAGCTCCACCCCACGGGCTCATCCCCACCCCTTTCCACCACACAGACACTCAGTGCTAGACAGATGTGGGACGGGACCCAGGGGAAAGTCTGCCCTGGAGGAGGGGCCTGCCCTTTGATCTAGACCTGTTAGTGTGGGGAGAGGGGAGGGGTCCTCCCAGAAAAAGTCATGAACCCCTTCTGCCCACGAACTATTTAGAAGGAAAAGGTCCTCACCAGAGCAGATGGCCCCGGCGTCCTTCTCATGGCCACAGTCGTGCGTGAACCAGCTGTTGTGGGTGCACTGGGCCAGGCGGCTCTCCGTGCCAACGCAGCGCACATTGTCCAGCAGGATCTTTCCAAAGCCTGGGCCAAAATGGGAGCCGAGAGGGGCAGATACGGCCTGGCCGCACCCAAGCTGTCTGCACACCACCTGCGCTTCCGGCAAGCCCCAGCCTTCGTCACAGACCGTCCCCCAGGTGCCCTGGTAGGAAACCTCTACCCGTCCAGAGCATCTTCCTGTGCCGTTAACCAGCCTCAGCTTAGGCCAGTCTTCTGTGGAGACGAAAATAAGAGTCAGTGTTGGAAACTTACCTTTCGAACTCGCCCTGTTTGCTTGGCTTACAAATCAAGGTGAGCCCTTCAGTCATCCTAGGTGAGCAGGCCACGGCTGGACAGAAGATTTGACAGTCACGCCACCACACAAGGTGCTGTCAGTCACCAAACAAAGCAGATCAAGTGGCAGACAGCATCTTCTCCTGCATGGGGCTTCGCAACTTGACATCAGCCGGGGGGACAGGAAAATTTAGGAAAATGTTTTTTCTATTCAATGGATTAAACTAAATGGTATATTCCAAAAAATGAAATATTCTGGAGCAGTCAAAAGCAGTCTCTCTCTCTCTCTCTCTCTCTCTCTCTCTCTCTCTCT